CAGGAGATGGCTGCGATGGGGGCGGCAGAACAGGAGCTCCCTCCGGCGCGTCACTGCGCGTGGAAGTAGATGGGCTTGACTTTGCCAGACAGGATCTTGGGAACCTGCACGGAGATGATCTCGGCCATCATTTCAGGGTAGTCCACGCTGACCATATGTGCCTTAATCAAAAGGTCAAATGTAAACTGATGCAGATCCTTGGCAATCTAGGAAAAAAGGGAGCACTAATAAGTGGATACTCTCTTTTAAGCAATTGCTCTGCAGAGGTACTGAGGAGACACGGGCTGACACAGGCTACCAGGGCTGGACAGGCTCTCACAAAGTGACACTGTGCAAAAAGGGCACGTCCACTCCTACAAAAACGTGCCTTCATGTGTATGAAGAGGCTGCTGAGTTTGCTTATTCAGAACCACCTTTTCCTTTTAACTGTGCAGTTGTGGAGCCAATCCCCAGCACACAGGAAGTCATGCTTCACCAGTACAATTTTAAGTCACAACAGAGAACATTCTTCTATTGATGTGATACAGAAAACGTGCAGAACTGCTGAGACTGGAAGGGATCCTCAGAGCTCATCCACTCTAGGCCTCCTGCTCGAGCAGGGCAGTCCAGGCCCTTGTCCAGACGGGTCATCTCCAAGGGCGCAGACTGCACAGCCTCTCCGGTCCACCTGGCCCAGTGCCCCCAGGAAGGAAGTTTTTCCCTGTGTTCATTAGGACATTGAGACTTTGGGCTACCTGGCTAAGCCTGACAACAGACAAGAATTATCTATAAGGGAGCTTTTATGTTACAGAAACGAAAGCCATGAGCGGAAGCCCAGGAGGGTTCCTACCCAAGGACGCAGCCAACGTCCAGCCCTGCGCAGAGGCAGTCACTGTCTTTTCCTGCTGTGCTGCAACGCTGGCAATCGTGTGCCAAACTGCAAGCGGCAGCGCCTCCGCTCCTCGTCCCGCAGCCACGTGAGGGGCAGCAGCAAGGAGCACCCCAGCTTAATGGGATCCACACTGCGGAATGAACCTCATCTGCCTTGGTGCTTCTCCCTGCGCACACAGGCCCTTGCGGTGGCACCGGGCAATGCTCCTGTCGCCTGCTCTGCTAGTCCCCAGCAGTGATGTGACGTGGGTGACAGGACTGTCACTGCTGCATGCTCCTGCACACTTGTTTCCTTTGCTCTTTCAGTAACAAGAGCATCTGAATGTGATCAGGACAAAACCCGCCTCCAGGTTTCACCCAGGACATGCACACCATGACAGAAGAAAGCCACTAAAGAAATAACTACAGGTAGGAATGTCATAAACACTGTTTTACATGTCCAGGAGTTACAGCGCTACCTCCTGATGCCACCAAGACTCTCCCATTCTCCCCCAGGCCCCACTCTGAAGGATCGCGGCGGACACGGCTGCGTGCGCTCTTACCGGATGCACGGAGTCCAGGACCTTGGTGAGCTGGTAAAACCGCCGAGAGCAGGAGGTAGGGTTCTTCCTCTTGCATGCGATGATGCGGTCGAGTTCCTTTATATAATTCATTCGAAGTTCATCGAAGAGCTTCTGGTTCTTCAGGCCATCCACGGGAACTTAACGGAGCAAGGAGAGGGAACAGTCACCATTGCGAGAGAGCGGAGGAACGAGAGAAGAAAGGGGTACAAGAAAGCTGGGGAACGGGCAGGTGAAGCCGAAGGAGGATGCGGAGTCACGCACAGGCACAGGGAAAGCAGCGATGCCTCCGGGTGATGGAGCGGGACAGGGATCACAGCACTTACTAATACTGAAGAAGAGCAGCGCCTTCATGCAGAGAAACTCCTGGGGCGTGATCTGAAGCCACCCGAACTCCTGAGAGAGGTGCCGCATCCTGACGCACTGGCTGTACATCCTGGACTTGTGCATGCGGTACCTGGCGGGCAGACACAGCGCTGCCGCGGAGGCAGCGGCGCTGCCGGCAACGCTCCTGCCCGGCCCAGCGACACGCAGCGCCGCGCGGCCCAGGGGAACGTGGTCAACACCCTGCGAATCCCACTGCCCGCAAAGGGGCGGCTGCCCGGGATTTGCTGGGATTTGCATTTGATCCACTCCTTTCCTGAAAATCACTGCCATGCCTCGCTAACCCGGGCTGTCCCAAGGGGATGCGAGATGTGACCGCAGTGCCCAAGCAGGTGTACGGTTGCTACTTCACTGCTTCTTTATTCCAAACCTTGCTACCCTAGTGTCAAGAAAACCTCCCTAAGGCTGAGCCCATGTCGGAGCGCAACCATCAGGAACTGATCTCTTCCATTCGAAACAGCAAAGCAGTGTCGTGGCAATTACCCTCATACTGATCCGTAAAGGAACAGGGTTTTCTCTCCAAGGCCGTGACCGAGAAGAGCATTTTGGGATTACCCAGGAAGAACAAAAACATTTCCTACAGACCCTGTCTTTGTGTCAGCAACAACAGGAGATCACTGCAGCGATCACGGCACAGGGAGCCCCGGAGCACCTGGGAAGCTCCACACACACGTCAGGACACCCATGTTCTCCACCTCCCCTGCCCTCGTCCTTCTGCAGAGGCTGCAGCCCCATCAGAGCAGGCCCTGACACCCCCTGCAGCTCCGGGGGATGGAGCGGAGGGAGCCGAGTGCCCGGGCACAGCCCTCTGCTTCCCGGGATTTCCCATTTTGGCTTCTCCAGCCGTGCAGCTGGGTCAGAACCGTGGTGTGTCTGCTCCTTAACTTCCAGCTGCAGAGGCTGCGTC